GGGGGGGGGGGGGGGGGGGGAGAGATGCCAAATTAAAGAATTGCAAATGCAAGGGGTGGGGAAGCAAAACACCAGAAACCTGGGATTTGTCCATCCCGCTGCTTATTTGGAATAACCCAGTTTGCTGGAGGAACGGGATGAAGGCATCATAACCGCGTCCTGCTTGGGGTCTTTCTGGAGGTCTCGGCTTGCGGGAGGGGGGAAGATGCTGATTGGGAAGGACTTTGGCTCCTCTGCTTCTGAGGCTTGAGAATGAAGAACGGAGCCTCCTCGTCCTGACGCAGCCTACCTTCGTGCACTCTCTGCCCGTGCAAAGAATGCTCGCGGGACCGGCGCGAAAGAACGTTTTGCAGGGGGTGTTTCGCACCAGGGGTGGGGGGAGATGCAAAGAAAGAGAAGACTTTTTAGGTTTTAGCCAAGTGCACGCAGGGCAGTGTGGAAAACGATGATAGAAAATCTTCCCGATGGGAGTGCAGGCCAGCGCAAACGAAAGGAGAGAGGGAAGGGGGTGGAGAAGGTCTTTCTCCTTAATGGTTTTCTTTAGTGGTTATGAAAAAACCCAGTGGCCCGACCCTCCAATATGACCTAGCAAGTTTGCAACAAAAGCAAAACGTGCTGGTTGTACCAGCCTCGCCCTTGCACAACAGGCTTTGCGAGCCGGGAAGGCCGCGATGCCCCGTTAAAAGCAACAGAAACGTCAGAAATCCATCGAGGTCATGCTTGGTCACCCTAGGCGATGAGAGGACGAGGCTGGGGGTTTGGACAAGCCGGGGTTGCTGAGTGAAGGAGCCGTGACTGGGATAGCCGGGGGTTGAATCAGAGGGGCAACGTGGAAGGGGGAGGTTCCTGTTACCAAGCCGTGATTAAGAGGCCCCAGTATAAAAGTTAGAAGCTGCCAGCCGGCTCCCCAACCAAACCGTGCGTTTTCCTGTGAGATCGTGACTTGGCAAACAGGTGAGTTGAGAGGGAGGGCAAGATGGGGCAAGGACGTGGATGGATGGATGGATGGATGGATGGATGGATGGATGGATGGATGGATGGACGGACG